ATGTAAAAAACGGTACACTCTGGCAAATTCAATTCAACTTTTCACGTTTCAGCGCCCTGTTCCACAGGATAAAGCATGAGATCAACAAACAATCTGTAAGAATCTTATTACCGCATTTGGAGGATTCAGTAGGGACCCATAGACGATTGGAAAAAATTGAAAGGGTTTTCTAAAGTGCCGTCAGACTGAACAATTGGATTCGAACGTACATGTAGGCATGTACGTGGGGATGAATGACACAGAGGTGCATAAAATCGACCCAGTGATCCGCTTACATGACTGATTACAAGCGTTTCACGACAGATTTGGTTTGTGTGGCTGTAGTAAACTCTCTTGCATTTTCGGGAAGCAATTGTCTTTTTCTAAATTACAAATATATCCATTGCAGCCGAACGTAAATGACACGACCTCGACATCGAACATTTACAGACCACGCAAGCTGAATACGCGAGAAGAAGGATGCGATGAATCGATGTTATTAATGAACAACTGAAACGAGAAGGTCACACCGGTTAAGAACGTTTAAGGACATAGACAAGGCCATGCACGAATACTATTTTGTCACGGGAAAACAGCTTGAGTCACTCAGCGATATGGCAACACTCTCGCAGTACTAAACACCTTCCCCAGGTCAGAAAGACTGCGAGTTGACCTTCGTGGTGTTAGGCCTAGCCGCGGCGGTGGTGATGATTGCTAAGCAATTGAACTAATGTGTATCTATGTGTGTATAAGATGAAACATGCTCCGTATCATTGCAAATCGTACACCTCAAAAAGTTGAGACTTGCGGTCAGAAATTCACTACAGAGTATTGCAGAATTCACGTGATGACAATAAGGAAAGGTCACTTGAACTGCATGTGCGACGTTTGCGGTGTTGGAGTGAAATATAATTATCGTCTGAGTAAAGCCCAAAGGTGATGCCCTCAGGTTTCAGTTTATGTGGGAAAAGAAGAAAAATTACGTTCACGAGTATCGACGACATCGCAAAATAAAAATTTAAACGAGGGACTTGATCAGCACACCACTGTAATGCTAGCTCGTCAACTGGTCAATCAAAGTTAAAAACAACCAATTAGACATCTGTTCACTCTAGATGATACCCATGTCTACTGTACCAAAACTCAAGGCTCTGGCAAAAAGTCGTGTCTGACTGGTTATTCACGCATGAGAAAGGCCGAATTGATGACATTGATGGAAATATGTCAAACCTCCCATCGTAAAAGAACTCTAAGTTCAAGCTCGGGAACTCGCGCTGAGAGGCTATTCTCGCATGAGCAAAACAGAATAGTTGACATTGCTCATAGACACCAAACTGGTAGAGCTGAGATTTGTGCCCACAGAACTCACCATTGAGAAGTATCTGAGTGGCTGGTGGATGGTAGTGAATTCTAATATCGACCTTGATAGCATTAAACCCATCATAGCTAGCAAGGTCAACGATCAACGATTTCCAGTAAACGTTCATTCGGACAGACTTCGAGCTATCCAACGGACGATGGGCTAAACTAGTCAAACCCACCCCATCTCCCAAATGGCTAAGGTAGAAAAAGCAAACATTTTGCAATTACTGTGTTCGAGCACGAGGGGGAATAAAAGTATCATGCATAGACTAAGCCCTGTTACAGAAAAAGATGTGCGAAGGCTCAATATATACTTCCCATCAAAAGTTTAGACTCACTGAACACACCCACTATATGCACGCACCAGACATGGGTTCAATTACTTTGAAATGTAATTAATTAAATTACAATTACTTTGATTTTCCTCAATTACAATTACAAATACAATTACACCTTAAATTAAAATGTAATTAATTACATTACAATTAATTACCAATGTAATTAATTACAATTACAAATTACTTTGTTAAAAAAACAAAACAAATATATTTTTGTATTCCTTTAATCACTAAATCCAATTCATTGGTCACTAAATCCAATTTATATTTTTGTCATCAAAAAGTGAAATGCAAAATTAGATTATATCTACAATGTACACTATTTGATCAAATTTGTATTTTGCATATTTCTTTGGGCTTATTATCAAATACACACCTCTATCATCTCTTGTTGCAAAAAACACTTTGTCCATCACTGTTACCTTAGGTATACTGTATCATGACATCATTACAGGCCTACATTACAATATATAATCAGCCGGTCTCTCTATCTGACATAATCCACATTAACATACTAAAGGATTTGTCAACTTGGATTTATGGCTTATTACCTTTCATGATTATAAAAATAGGACTACAGTTCAGTAAGATTTTGAATATCCTATCCTATGAGAAATAAACAAAGAGGCCATTTTTATAGGAACTTGACTAATAGTACTGTTAATCCCCCATTTCCTCAAATACCAACCTACATTCAGTCATGCGTTACTGATTCCCTTTGTTTCACAAATGTGCAGATGGTGATAGTTACAAAGGCTTAGACATTCAAATCTCTTTCAAAACTTAACACCTGCTAGAGTATATACCGACAACAAGCATCTTATTGAAAAACACTGCTTTGTCCTCATTATTGTACAGAATATAATTGCAAGGGTTGCCTGATGACCACCAAAATAAAAAAGTGAGATGTAATTTGATGTAATTGAAAAAGTAATTGAAAAATTCAATTACATTGAGATTTTAATTAATTAAATTACAAATTACATTTTAAACATTCAATTACAAATTACATGCAATTACATAGATTTTGGTAATTAATTACATTCAATTACAATTACAAATTACAATTACCCCATGTCTGGCACGCACACACACACACACACACACACACACACACACACACACACACACACACACACACACACACACACATATGTATATATACATACGTCGAAGATTGAGTTCACCACTAACTTGGGAGAACCAACTGCAAACCTTATGCAGATGAATTGCACGAGGTTCATGCATCAAATTGCTGAAAAGCGTGTCCAAATATCATGCATGTGAACAGGTGTGTTTTGGTGTAAAGCTCTGTTAAGATATCGCCATTCGTTTTATCATTTATTGAACTCATGATAATCTTTTCAAGTTACAAATTTATTTTACAACACACTAGTTCATGTGTAAACAGTACCGTGGTGTTCCATAATCTTCGTGGTTATGATTCTCACTTAATCATGCAGGTTATCTCGAAAATCAACGGTAACTGCATCCCCAATAACATGGAAAAATATATCTAGTTCTCATTAGATGGTTTGAAATTCATAGATAGCGTTCATTTTCTGCTATCGTCGCTCGACAGTTTAGCGAACGTGAACAAACCGGATGCCTTCATCATAACAAATCAATACACCAACATGTCAACTGGACCTTTGTTGCTGAGGACGAATACATTGACGATTGGTCTAGATTCGAGGAAACGAAATTGCGTCCCATCAAATCATTTTGTAGTAACTTAACCGAATCAGAAATAACCAATGACGATTACTAGCAGGTAACTGACCTGCGACAAAGTAAGCTGTAAGAATTTAGGTAACTACTAGGATCTTGAAAACTGCTGCTCGCCGATATTCAGAAGAAAAACGTGTTTCGATACCCGACCGCGTCATTCCAAAAGACGCTAAAATATGGTATTGTTGGTCCCTGCCTGGCGCTCAGCATTAATGGGTACAACAAGGACTGGTCGGCTCGGAGTCAGTATAATGTGTCTGAGTGGGGTATTCATGCTTCACTGTGGAATGGTATCTCAGTGGGCTAGCACTAAAACCAGCTTAAGTCTGGGCTAGTACAAGCAGACGCACATACACATACACACGCATGCACGTCGTCATATGAGCGAAATATTCTCAAGCACGACGTAAAACCCAATTTCACCTCACCTCACCTTCGATGGAACATCAGATTGAACATGGATTTAAGAAAACGGGCCACCACTGATTTTGAAGAGAATCTATTTAAGCTCATGAACAACTCTCCATTTGGTACAACAATGGAGAATTTGAGGAAGTGCGTGAATGTGAAGTTAGCTAGATCTCATGAGGAAGAAAAACTTAGGAAACTGATAAGCGAGCCCGGCCTTCAACAAAAGTAAAATATTCAACGATGACTTAGTGGCGTTGCACATGGGCAAGAGTCACCTCAAATTCAACAGACCAGTGTACGTTGGTATGAGTATTCTTGATCTTGATCTCTTCGAATATCTCTACTACAACGAACTCAAGAAGTAATACGGTGATAGATGCGAGGTGTTGTATACCAACACCAATTTGTTGTTGATGGAAATTCAAACTGAGGGCGTGTTCGAGCACATGGTGGGAAAAATAGACATTACGATACGAGTGACAACCCAAAATACCACGCCCTCCACAGCTTGGCGAATAAAAAGGTAGTCGGGAAAATGAAAGACGAATGTACTGGGGACCAAATTGCTGAGTATGTATGATTAAGACCTAAAATGTAGTCGATTAAAAAAACTAACTACAGAGAGATAAAAAAGGCTAAGGGTGTTGAGAAAGATGTTGTGAAAAAAGAAATATAACCTGAACATTTCAAAGAGGCCCTATTTGATAGACGAACGTTCAAACACGAAATGAATACTCTGAGAACTGACAAGCATAGGATATATGGCTTAAGGTTGAACAAAACGTCGTTGTCACCAATGAATACAAAAAGATGGATTGCTGACGATGGTGTAATGACTTATGCCTACGGATACAGCATATTATAGGAAATCTAATAAGATAAACAATGGATAAAAATTACTACAGACCACGGGGATATTGGAAAGGAAGAGGACTAATCCAAAAACTATGGCTAAGGTATCCAAAGATGTTGCTAAGGATTGGTTAAAGAAATAGGCAATATCGCAAATATACTTGCCTCCTTTTTTAGTATTACTTGAAAGACGGGCCATAAGCAGAAACTTCTGCATTGACGATTTTCCTTACCAAAACCAAAGAAATCATAAGAGAATAACGCTGAATTGTTTCCTCGATGTCAATGCGTATTCGTAATTAATTTTTTTTTCTCTTTCATGCAAAGACATCGTTGGATGTTCCGGCACATCCACCGCCATTTCTAGGGGACTCCTGGCAGCTTAATTAGCCAGAAATAACGCCATGAACGGAAGTGGTCCAGAGCACCCCTCGTAATACAACTCAGGGATATGTGCGAGGTAGTACTAATTCCTACAACTGACGCCTGTAAATATGTGCTGTGTTACAAGTTGGACTGTTAAATATGTGTAGGCATACGTGTTTTCTAAAGCTACTTCTCTCAGTGGGAAAAAAACTGAAACGTAGATTTATAAAAGAACGACATTTCCAGTAAACATCTTACCCACGTGTGGGTAATATATATAATTATATGTACTTCGCTAGACTTTGAGAACGTTTATTTACTGTACTTAATCTTACTCAGTGATTTGATCTGTTAATGAGAACACAGTGAGCATAAAAATTATTGTTTTTTTACAGTGGTCAGTGTAACCAAGAGTAACGCGGACATCTTTTCCACTGGAAGCAGTTCCTTCGTTTTGTGAGCCGACACCGACCGACATTGACCGTGATCAGGGAAACGCTACTTTCATACCCTGGCCCGTCACTCTCGTACAGAGACACAGACACCTCCACCCCCACACACCCCTACGCACTCTTCCTCCAACGGTGAGAGACAGACACCTGACTCTACTACCTCACCTTCCAACAGGATGAGACAGAAACCACCCTCTACGCCCTCCTCCTCCAACAGTGAGACACACACATTTGCCCCTACTACCCCACCTTCCAACAGTGAGAGAGAGACACCACCCTCTACGGCCTCCTCCTCCAACAGTGAGAGAGAGACACCACCCTCTACGACCTCCTCCGCCAACAGTGAGAGAGAGAAATCACCCTCTACGGCCTCCTCCGCCAACAGTGAGAGACAGACACGACCCACTACGCCCTCCTCCTCCAAGAGAAAGAAACAGACACCTGAACCTACTACCCCATCTTCCAACAGTGAGAGACAGAAACCACCCTCTACGCCCTCCTCCTCCAACAGTGAGACACACACACTTGCCCCTACTACCCCACCTTCCAACAGTGAGAGACAGAAACCACCCTCTACGCCCTCCTCCTCCAACAGTGAGACACACACATTTGCCCCTACTACCCCACCTTCCAACAGTGAGAGAGAGACACCACCCTCTACGTCCTCCTCCTCCAACAGTGAGAGACAGAAACCACCCTCTACGACCTCCTCCTCCAACAGTGAGAGAGAGACACCACCTTCTACGCCCTCCTCCTCCAACAGTGAGACACACACATTTGCCCCTACTACACCACCTTCCAACAGTGAGAGAGAGACACCACCCTCTACGACCTCCTCCTCCAACAGTGAGACACACACACTTGCCCCTACTACCCCACCTTCCAACAGTGAGAGAGAGACACCAACCTCTACGACCTCCTCCTCCAACAGTGAGACACACACACTTGCCCCTACTACCCCACCTTCCAACAGTGAGAGACAGAAACCACCCTCTACGGCCTCCTCCTCCAACAGTGAGAGACAGAAACCACCCTCTACGACCTCCTCCGCCAACAGTGACACACACACACTTGCCCCTACTACCCCACCTTCCAACAGTGAGAGAGAGACACGACCCACTACGCCCTCCTCCTCCAAGAGAAAGAGACAGACACCTGAACCTACTACCCCATCTTCCCACAGTGAGAGACAGAAACCACCCTCTACGCCCTCCTCCTCCAATAGACAGACACAGACACCTGCCCCTACTACCCCACCTGCCCACAGTGAGAGACAGAAACCACCCTCTACGCCCTCTTTCTCCAACAGTGAGAGACAGACACCTGCCCCTACATCCTCACCTTCCATCATTGTGAGGCAGACACCATATTGTACGCCCTCTTTCTCCAACAGTGAGAGACAGGCACCTGCCCCTAATACCCAGTCTTCCCACAGTGAGAGACAGACATCACCCTCTACGCCCTCCTCCTCCAACAGTGAGAGGGAGACACCACCCTCTACGACCTCCTCCGCCAACAGTGAGACACACACACTTGCCCCTACTACCCCACCTTCCAACAGTGAGAGAGAGACACGCCCCTCTACGGCCTCCTCCTCCAACAGTGAGAGAGAGACACCACCCTCTACGCCCTCCTCCTCCAACAGTGAGACACACACATTTGCCCCTACTACCCCACCTTCCAACAGTGAGAGAGAGACACTACCCTCTACGACCTCCTCCTCCAACAGTGAGAGAGAGACACCACCCTCTACGTCCTCCTCCGCCAACAGTGATCCACACACACTTGCCCCTACTACCCCACCTTCCAACAGTGAGAGAGAGACACCACCCTCTACGCCCTCTTCCTCCAACAGTGAGAGAGAGAAACCACCCTCTACGACCTCCTCCGCCAACAGTGAGACACACACACTTGCCCCTACTACCCCACCTTCCAACAGTGAGAGAGAGACACCACCCTCTACGTCCTCTTCCTCCAACAGTGAGACACACACACCTGCCCCTACTACCCCACCTTCCAACAGTGAGAGACAGACACGACCCACTACGCCCTCCTCCTCCAAGAGAAAGAGACAGACACCTGAACCTACTACCCCATCTTCCCACAGGGAGAGACAGAAACCACCCTCTACGCCCTCCTCCTCCAATAGACAGACACAGACACCTGCCCCTACTACCCCACCTTCCAACAGTGAGAGAGAGACACAACCCTCTACGGCCTCCTCCTCAAAGAGAAAGAGACAGACACCTGAACCTACTACCCCATCTTCCCACAGTGAGAGACAGAAAACACCCTCTACGCCCTCCTCCTCCAACAGTGAGAGGGAGACACCACCCTCTACGACCTCCTCCGCCAACAGTGAGACACACACACTTGCCCCTACTACCCCACCTTCCAACAGTGAGAGACAGAAACCACCCTCTACGCCCTCCTCCAGCAGTGAGACACACACACTTGCCCCTACTACCCCACCTTCCAACAGTGAGAGAGAGACACCACCCTCTACGGCCTCCTCCTCCAACAGTGAGAGAGAGACACCACCCTCTACGTCCTCTTCCTCCAACAGTGAGACACACACACCTGCCCCTACTACCCCACCTTCCAACAGTGAGAGACAGACACGACCCACTACGCCCTCCTCCTCCAAGAGAAAGAGACAGACACCTGAACCTACTACCCCATCTTCCCACAGTGAGAGACAGAAACCACCCTCTACGCCCTCCTCCTCCAATAGACAGACACAGACACTTGCCCCTACTACCCCACCTGCCCACAGTGAGAGACAGACACCACCCTCTACGTCCTCCTCCGCCAACAGTGAGCCACACACACTTGCCCCTACTACCCCACCTTCCAACAGTGAGAGAGAGACACCACCCTCTACGCCCTCTTCCTCCAACAGTGAGAGAGAGAAACCACCCTCTACGACCTCCTCCGCCAACAGTGAGACACACACACTTGCCCCTACTACCCCACCTTCCAACAGTGAGAGAGAGACACCACCCTCTACGTCCTCTTCCTCCAACAGTGAGACACACACACCTGCCCCTACTACCCCACCTTCCAACAGTGAGAGACAGACACGACCCACTACGCCCTCCTCCTCCAAGAGAAAGAGACAGACACCTGAACCTACTACCCCATCTTCCCACAGGGAGAGACAGAAACCACCCTCTACGCCCTCCTCCTCCAATAGACAGACACAGACACCTGCCCCTACTACCCCACCTTCCAACAGTGAGAGAGAGACACAACCCTCTACGGCCTCCTCCTCAAAGAGAAAGAGACAGACACCTGAACCTACTACCCCATCTTCCCACAGTGAGAGACAGAAAACACCCTCTACGCCCTCCTCCTCCAACAGTGAGAGGGAGACACCACCCTCTACGACCTCCTCCGCCAACAGTGAGACACACACACTTGCCCCTACTACCCCACCTTCCAACAGTGAGAGACAGAAACCACCCTCTACGCCCTCCTCCAGCAGTGAGACACACACACTTGCCCCTACTACCCCACCTTCCAACAGTGAGAGAGAGACACCACCCTCTACGGCCTCCTCCTCCAACAGTGAGAGAGAGACACCACCCTCTACGTCCTCTTCCTCCAACAGTGAGACACACACACCTGCCCCTACTACCCCACCTTCCAACAGTGAGAGACAGACACGACCCACTACGCCCTCCTCCTCCAAGAGAAAGAGACAGACACCTGAACCTACTACCCCATCTTCCCACAGTGAGAGACAGAAACCACCCTCTACGCCCTCCTCCTCCAATAGACAGACACAGACACTTGCCCCTACTACCCCACCTGCCCACAGTGAGAGACACAAACCACCCTCTACGCCCTCTTTCTCCAACAGTGAGAGACAGACACCTGCCCCTACATCCTCACCTTCCAGCATTGTGAGGCAGACACCATATTCTACTCCCTCTTTCTCCAACAGTCAGAGACAGGCACCTGCCCCTAATACCCAATCTTCCCACAGTGAGAGACAGACATCACCCTCTGCGCAACGTCCCTCAAGCAGTGAGAGGGAGACACCTGCCCCTACTGCCCCACCTTCCAACAGTGAGAGACAGACACGACCCACTACGCCCTCCTCCTCCAAGAGAAAGAGACAGACACCTGAACCTACTACCCCATCTTCCCACAATGAGAGACGGAAACCACCCTCTACGCCCTCCTCCTCCAACAGTGAGAGAGGGACACCACCCTCTACGACCTCCTCCGCCAACAGTGAGACACACACACTTGCCCCTACTACCCCACCTTCCAACAGTGAGAGAGAGACACGCCCCTCTACGCCCTCCTCCTCCAACAGTGAGAGACAGAAACCACCCTCTACGCCCTCCTCCAACAGTGAGACAAACACACTTGCCCCTACTACCCCACCTTCCAACAGTGAGAGAGAGACACCACCCTCTACGGCCTCCTCCTCCAACAGTGAGAGAGAGACACCACCCTCTACGTCCTCTTCCTCCAACAGTGAGACACACACACCTGCCCCTACTACCCCACCTTCCAACAGTGAGAGACAGACACGACCCACTACGCCCTCCTCCTCCAAGAGAAAGAGACAGACACCTGAACCTACTACCCCATCTTCCCACAGTGAGAGACAGAAACCACCCTCTACGCCCTCCTCCTCCAATAGACAGACACAGACACTTGCCCCTACTACCCCACCTGCCCACAGTGAGAGACAGAAACCACCCTCTACGCCCTCCTCCTCAAATAGACAGACACAGACACCTGCCCCTACTACCCCACCTTCCAACAGTGAGAGACAGACACGACCCTCTACGGCCTCCTCCTCCAAGAGAAAGAGACAGACACCTGAACCTACTACCCCATCTTCCCACAGTGAGAGACAGAAAACACCCTCTACGCCCTCCTCCTCAAACAGTGAGAGAGAGACACCACCCTCTACGACCTCCTCCGCCAACAGTGAGACACACACACTTGCCCCTACTACCCCACCTTCCAACAGTGAGAGACAGAAACCACCCTCTACGCCCTCCTCCAACAGTGAGACACACACACTTGCCCCTACTACCCCACCTTCCAACAGTGAGAGAGAGAAACCACCCTCTACGGCCTCGTCCTCAAAGAGAAAGAGACAGACACCTGAACCTACTACCCCATCTTCCAACAGTGAGAGACAGAAACCACCCTCTACGCCCTCCTCCTCCAACAGTGAGAGAGAGACACCACCCTCTACGACCTCCTCCTCCAACAGTGAGACACACACACTTGCCCCTACTACCCCACCTTCCCACAGTGAGAGAGAGACACGCCCCTCTACGGCCTCCTCCTCCAACAGTGAGAGACAGAAACCACCCTCTACGCCCCTCCTCCAACAGTGAGACACACACACTTGCCCCTACTACCCCACCTTCCAACAGTGAGAGAGAGACACCACCCTCTACGGCCTCCTCCGCCAACAGTGAGAGAGAGAAACCACCATCTACGTCCTCTTCCTCCAACAGTGAGACACACACACCTGCCCCTACTACCCCACCTTCCAACAGTGAGAGACAGACACGACCCACTACGCCCTCCTCCTCCAATAGAAAGAGACAGACACCTGAACCTACTACCCCATCTTCCCACAGTGAGAGACAGAAACCACCCTCTACGCCCTCCTCCTCCAATAAACAGACACAGACACTTGCCCCTACTACCCCACCTGCCCACAGTGAGAGACAGAAACCACCCTCTACGCCCTCTGTCTCCAACAGTGAGAGACAGACACCTGCCCCTACATCCTCACCTTCCATCATTGTGAGGCAGACACCATATTCTACTCCCTCTTTCTCCAACAGTGAGAAACAGGCACCTGCCCCTAATACCCAATCTTCCCACAGTGAGAGACAGACATCACCCTCTGCGCAACGTCCCTCAAGCAGTGAGAGACACACACCTGCCCCTAATGCCACACCTTCCCAAAGTGAGAGAGAAACACCACCCTCCTCCTCCAGCAGTGAGAGACAGACACCTGCCCCTACTACCTCACCTTTTCAGAGTGAGAGACAGAAACCACCCTCTATGCCCTCTTCCTCCAAAAGTGACACACACACCTGCCCCTACTACCCTACCTTCCAACAGTGAGAGAGAGACACCACCCTCTACGTCCTCTTCCTCCAACAGTGAGACACACACACCTGCCCCTATAAACCATACCACTTATCATGAAATAAAAGTGGGTCTGTTGAATGCACGGTCTGTGCGCAATAAAACATGGAAAATTCGTAATCTAATACTTGAAAAAGCTTGGAAAATACTCTTCATTACTGAGACTTGGCTGAAAAGTAGTGGTGATGAAGCAAGAGTAACTGAACTCACCCCAGACGGATACCGCTTTCACCATGTTCCTAGGCCTGCTGGTAGACAAGGCGGAGGCGTGGGAGTGGTGTACCACACTTCTCTTAATGTAGAAATAGTCAGAACAGAACAGGCTTATAACTCTTTTGAATCCATGGCCATCTCTCTGCGATGTCAAGTTCATTCAAGTTCAGTCAAGATAATATGTCTGTATCGACCCCCGCGAACTGATTTTCAAACGGATTTATCCAATCTGTTTACACAATATACTACTTCTGACATTATCTATCTTGGAGACTTTAATGTGTGGTACGGTGTTGCTAGTAATAGAGAAGCCAGGGAGATCACAAACCTTCTAGCAACCAGTGGTCTGACTCAGCTCGTGAACAGGAAAACCCACGAACATGGTAATATCCTAGACTGGGTTGTAACCCATAGATCCAACCCCTTTGTTAACAACGTCACTGTGGGGGACATGCCTGTATCGGATCACTATCCTGTCAGCATGACTATCACCTTCACACAGAGAGGCATCAACGCAACCCCTCGACGTCACTCTCTCCCATACAGAGAGACAAACACCCCTTCTACACAGAGAGGCATCAACGCAACCCCTCGACGTCACTCTCTCCCATAGAGAGAGACAAACACCACCTCCACACAGAGAGGCATCAACGCAACCCCTCGACGTCACTCTCTCCCATAGACAGAGACAAACACCACCTCCACACAGAGAGGCATCAACGCAAACCCTCGACGTCCTCTCCCATACAAAGAGACAAACACCACCTCCACACAGAGAGGCATCAACGCAACCCCTCGACGTCACTCTCTCCCATACAGAGAGACAAACACCACCTCCACACAGAGAGGCATCAACGCAACCCCTCGACGTCACTCTCTACCATACAGAGAGACAAACACCACCTCCACACAGAGAGGCATCATCGCAACCCCTCGACGTCACTCTCTCCCATACAGAGAAACAAACACCACCTCCAAACAGAGAGGCATCAACGCAACCCCTCGACGTCACTCTCTCCCATACAGAGAGACAAACACCACCTCCTACTCCCCCACCTTTACACAACATTCCCCCATCACAACGAGAATAATTTTCACCAATCACGCCTCACTCAGTCACAGGCTGGAAGACGTGATCAAGATGGTTCGCATCCTCAAGAACCGCAGCAGTCCAGGAGACAAAGGTAGCATCAGCAACGCAGTCAGCCAAATCAGCAACCCCATACCCTTTTCAGACAATGGGAACATCAGCAACTTGACCATGCCGACTATCGACCACGCCTGCATGGTCGTTTCTTAGGCTTGTTTGAAGGACGAGTTATCTCCCTTGAGAGAGGTTGTGGTTGACATCGGGATGATCGTGCTCTCTATTTCTATGTGATTTTGTCATCTACAAAGCCTTAAAACCTATAATTGTGTGAGACATAACATCGCAACTAGATTACCAACGCTCCAACAGAAATGGATATGTCGATCGACCAATGGAGGCTTCGAATTTGATGTTTTCAACATCGTTCCAAGCCTCGCTCCCGCCATGCGAGTGACAGCCCTGACAGGTGCACGTCGACCATGAATGAAAATATCTCCAAACATATCAATGACAAGAATGCTGTTTTCGATCTGCCTATTAGCAGTGAAGAAGTCACGAATGCTATAAAACACCTTAAATATGATAAAGCCAGTGATGTCGATAATGTCATAAACGAGTATATTAAATACACAGCTGGCAAAATGATCCATTTATATGCAAAACTGTTCAATGTCATTTTGGACTCAGGATGTCCGGAAAGTTTGCTCAGAGCAAATATAAGACCAATTTATAAAAACAAAGGCGACCGTTTCTCATGTAAATGTGTTGTTTTGAACGACGATGTGTAATGTATATATTTAAAATTATTTGCACTGCTATATGCTATATACCTCATCGTGGTGGAAATGCATAAAAATTCAGAGTTTGTTACCATGCCCTTTTTTAATAAGTCTTTTAATAAATTGTTTGAAAATGGTATTTTCCCCCGATGTTTGGGAATTATGTTCCTTTACATAAGAAAGGTGATGTCACCAATCCAGATAATTATAGAGGAATTTGCCTTATGAGTATTTTAGGTAAAGTCTTTACATCTGTTCTAAGTAACAGACTCACTAAATGGGCAAGTATGACAGATAAAATTCCCGAATCACAAGCAGGCTTTAGAAAGAAATATTCAACTTCTGATCATATCTTTACACTATTTGCACTAGCCCAGAAATGTCTATCCCGTCGTAAGCGTAAACTATATGTAGCTTTTGTTGATTTCCGTAAAGCATTTGATTCTGTCAATCGTTCTAAATTGTGGTATTCTTTAAGTAATGCTGGCCTGAAAGGCAGAATGTATTCAATTTTAAAAGCAATGTATACTAATGTGAAAGCTTGTACACGTTGTGGTGATGATAAAGAAAGATGATCCTTTAATGACCAACCTGTAATTGTCTCTGATCATTACACTTATCTTGGTATTAAGTTTACGTCCACTATGAATTGGAAAACATCTGTGATGAGTTATCATTGAAAGCTAAGAAAGCATTGATAAGTCTTTTATCTGCCTTGTGTAAAATTGGTGTGTTGACGCCCAGTATTTACTTTAAACTATTTGATTGTCAAATATTCAACCTATTCTTTTGTATGGATCCGAGATCTTGGGATTCCAGAGACATGAATGCATAGAAAAAAAACATCTGATGGCCTGTAAGAAAGTTTTAAAGTTAGGACCCTCTTGCATGGTGTACGGTGAATGTGGGAGGTATCCCCTGTGTATAAATGCTCATATTCGATGTATAAAATTCTGGTTTAAGATATTGTGTATGCAAGACCATAGATTACCCAAAAAGGCTTATAACATGCTTGTTCATTTGGACAACATTGGTAAACATTGACGTGGGCTTTTTATATAAGAAATCTTCTGTTTGCACATGGTTATGGTTTTGTATGGTTAAGTCAGTCATTTGGTGATGCAAGTTTGTTTTTAACTCAGTTTCGAGAAAGAAGTTTTAATATGTTTAATCAAGAATGGCATTCAGTAATAGATAATAGTTCACGGTACGACTCTTATAGAAAATACAAATCACTACACCAGCTGGAGAAATATCTGTCGTTTTTAACATCAAAGAAATTAAGATATCCATTTATACGTTTTAGGTTAGGTTTGATCAACATAATGGTAAACGAAGGAAGACGTTTTTATATTGAACGATGCAAGAGAATGTGCTCACTGTGTAATATAGATGTGGAAAATGAAATCCATGTTTTACTTGTATGTACTTTGTATAAAGATTTGCGTACGAAATATATTGCTGAATATTATCTATGTAAGCCACCTACATTAGCATGTAAACTACTTCTGTCATCAACTGACCAGCATGTAATAATAAAGCTGTCGTACTATATTAATTATGTTCTTTTTAAACGTAGCAATCTGATAAAAAGTTTTGTAGACCCATCGTATTTTACTACTTGTACATAATTTACTGCCTGTATCATGATTTGCTGTTTGGATCACTAATTACTACTTATTGCACCATATATATAATGTATATGTATAACTTCAATGTATATGGGCCGGAGGCCTTTTGTACAATAAACATCTCTTCTATACTGTTGTCTTAGCAACATCTAAATGTGACCTACAGAAACAACTTGATATATTCAGCAAGTATTGTGAAACATGGAAGTTAAAGATTAATATAGACAAATGCAATGTTTTGACATTTAATATTATGGCACAAAGAGAGAATGTTCTTATAGATTTGCAATATCAAATACAAAATGTTGATGAATACAAATATCTGGTTATAATTTTTAGCGAAAATGTACTTTTTCGTCCGCTAAGAAAACACTTTATGACAAGAGTGTAAAAGCCATGAACTACGTTTTATCCAAAGCCAGACATTTTAATCTATCCATTACTTGCCAGTTAAAACTCTTTGATGTACTTGTCGTTCCAGTTTTGACTTATGGATTTGAAAACTTAAGTATTCCTGAAGATTTTTAAGGACATTACTTAGGGTAAAGAAAAGTACACCATTATATATGAATTATGCAGAGACAGGACCAACTCTCTACTGTTTTTTATACTAAAATGATATGCTACTGAGCAAGATTAATCACAGGAAAATATTCAAAGCTGGCAAACTTCAAATAATACTTCTAATAACAAATAGCCATCGTGTATTAAAGAAATAATAATAAAGACGGGAAATAATGATGTATGGATTAGCTATGCATTTGCCAATTTGACCCCGGCACACTCTTCTGGCGTGTGTTAATTTCGATGTAATCTTCTCTCCTCTGATGTAACAAGTAGTCTTGATGATTGTGTAACTCAAGCTTTGACTGATGTAAACAAAGCTATTGAGCAATGCCTTGTATCAAGCAGTAGATTTATGTGTAGGAAAATGTTTTTATAAGCATTATTTTTCATGCAGTGGGAAGTTAAAATCGTAATTTAAACTTAGTGGGAAGTTTAGCTTGTGTATTTTCGGAAATAGTTGATTTCAGACAGAGGTTACTTGTAGTTCATAAAATACCTCTTGTTACCTTCGTTTTGGCAGTAACAATTCCGTTGGAATTATCCTTTCCCGGCACGACACGCTGTGCCGTGCCATACTCGGTTTGCGGTAGCCATTCATACTTTTTTGCTACGAGTCCCGAGTGCGGTATGGTACAGCTGTCGTGATTGGTTGGCTGACTCAAATGGGCAGCGAGCTAGCTATTCGGCCAGGGTTAAAGGTAACTTACGGGGTATATAAGGGCCTGTAACACTATCAGAAATCCCTTGCTTCAGGATACCCTGACCCGTCAGTAAGTCGCTACCGGGAGGTCTTCCTCCTTTCCTTAGTTAACATTTATTTTTAAGTAGAATGAAGGTTAAGAGAGTAATGAGTGGGTTGGGGGTAAATGTAGACATGCAGTAGGGGTTATTTTTTGTAGGAGTTTATTTGCTAAGACTTTCTTTTGCCTTATACAGATTTTAAGATCTGAGTGTGTGCGGGAAAGGTACGGCTTTATTTTGTTAGTTTGGTTTAATTTATTTGTTTTGATAAATAAATTGTATTTATTTGGTAGATTTGAATTGTGTTGTCATTCCGGATGAACCGTTAGCAGTGCCACCAACCTCCAAAGAACCATTAAATAAGGTTTATGAAAGGTTCCGGTCTCTGAATATTCAGTTAAGATCCATACAAATTACACAACGCAAAGTCTATAACAGAGACTGTTTTAGAACACTGAACCTAGTCACATAAACCTTACTGTCAGTGGCACCTACCTCAATGGAGGCGCCTATTACATATTTGAGCGCTTAAACTAATCAGCCTTGGTTTAACGATGAATGTAGATATCTCAAGCTAGAGACCCAGCGATTGTTAAAAATATTTAGAAAAAGGAAGGACAGTGGTTCACTTAATATATATGTTGATTGTAGAAAAAAGTACAATAGCCTGTTACGCGAAATGAAAAGACTTTATAACATATTCATCAATAGCGAATCAGTGAAGAATATTAGTAATGCGAAACATTTCTGGAATACGTTTAAGAAGTATACAATCGTAAAAAGAAATGGAAAACATTTACCCTTA